TCCTCCCTTGGAGTTAAATGCAACTGAACAGTTCTTCTTCTAAATCCGTATAATATGATTAAATAAGATCATATTATAATAAAGTACTAAGAGTGTTAAAAATAAATTATTTAAATATATACTAAATACTTTTACAAATATATACAATGTGTTTTTTTTAATGAAGGATACTTTAAGCCATTATTATGCTTCTAAAAGAAACGTGTTTTTGGATAATTAATAAAAACGTTAAAAACTCTTACACCTCTTTCTCTTAACCATTAGCAGGCAGGCATTAATCAATCTATTTAAAAACCTGTCAGAGCCATCAATCATTTTATTTTTAAGATATTAATTTCATTATTGGAGGTTCTTTTTATCATAAATTTTCCTTTAAAATCAATAGATATTATATCTTTCTCAAGTTCACATCAAATTCTCTTGGTTGGACGTTATCGATAAGGTCTTATCGAGTTTGCCCGAGGGATTTCAGAATTCTCGCGCGACTTGCAAAAAGCTGTGGCCACAGTCGTAGAAACAACACGTTAAAAAGGATAAAGAAACTTCGTTTGTCATAATTGATGAGACATAAAATGTTTAAACAAGTATTTGCACATTCTTTCAGTTTAGTTCGTTTATATTTTATTTTCTTTTTTATAATATAATACTTTTATTCAATATTTCAACATAGAATAATGAGAAAAAAGATGGAAATCACGTAGTGGTGTTATGGAGGGATGGATGAAATGGAAAACGTTTTATGTTGATATTTAGAACCGTTACCTATGACTAACAAAAACTATAACCACCAAATTATCGACAATTTTTCGAAATTAGCATGTTTTTTTCGAATTTTCCGCATTTTCAGCGAAAGAGTTCGAAGAGTATTTTCAGAGTGAGGAAATAAAACACATTAAAATTACGACAGACGTAGTTTGTTGCTATACCGTGTCAATGGATCTGATAACAGAATTTCTGAGGACAAAGTGACACTACATGGTGTTGAGTGAAAAATAAACAGGCGAAGTTTAAAGAATACATATTTTTATCATCCAGGAAAACCTGAAGCCCAGTTTGATGTTTGACCTCTCCCAAGATTTGTCCAGCTTCCATTTTGTCTCCGATGGGTCGGATCTAAATCGTTTGAAGTTGGTGTGGACGTGTTTTGTATTCAATCAGATGTAACAAACTTTTTTTAATAAATTCAAAAGAAATAATTAGCCAGTGAAGCGATTAGTTTTGTTAAATTTTTCTAAATAAACAATTATCCTTAATGTTACTAAGATCTGCTCTCATTTCGGTTTAAAGGATTATAGATCAGCTAATTGTCATATTTTAGTTTCTTTTAAATAAAGTTAACTTTTGATAGTTAATCAATAATTAAGAAAAGATGAGTAGTTTCATTTCGACATATAACAGTACACCTTTTCTGTCATTTGGTACACAACCATATTTTGAATGGTTGTATGTAACATCTGTTGATAAATATAGTTTCATTATGTTTAATTAGAAGGTAGAATTCAATATAAGGTTTGATGATAAATTTAGATATTTTTATTTGTAATAACTGTTTATGTGAAATAAAAATAAATATGTAATGTTTCTCTTTAAACAGAAGTTTTAAAATTATTTAAAAAAAAAACCTTTCTGTATGCAAGTAGAATGACACATAACGCATATGATGCCATACTTGATAAGTTTTTGGGAATCTCTTAATACTATAATGGATATAAAAGACAATAAAAACATTTTTGAAGACAAATATCAGTTTTAAGTTTCTCTTTTACTTTTAAATATCCCATAAAATCCCGCAGAAGAGCTTACTTACGTTAACAACAAGGTTTATTTTAATGAAGGCTCTTTTATAGTCACATCTGCAAAATCTTTATATACAATTCTCGTTAGTAAATTTGATGCCTGTCCCCTGTGACGGACCCTTGCCTCTTAGAGAAATATCAAAGGGAAATATTAATGTGGGTTAACATTAAATTAGAGTACGGGTTAAACTAGTTATTATATGATTAACTTCATAATTCATAGAAATATTCATTAAGTTTTGCAGTGAGTTGGATAATAAAACGTTTGAAGAGCGAAATGAATACACTACTAAAAAACAGCATTAAACTTGGTTCAACCTAACTGTGAGTGTTTGTTTTTTATAGTGTTGCGGTTTATATGTAACATAAAAATATCGTAAGTATATTAATACTCTAATCAAATATTTTATTACAAAGTTTTGAAGAACGGAATATTACACTACTAAAAACAGCATTAAATTTCAATCAAAAAAACTTTGAATAGTTTGTATTCTTTATGGTATTGTGGTTTATATATGATATAAAAGATCGTTAATTTATTAATAATATTAATTAATAATTTATTAACTTAATAAAATTTAATAGTATATTATAACTATAGGGAGGAAAATTCCAAAAAGATCTCGAAAATGTCTATTTAAACGCATATTTTTTAGTGCCAAAATTTTGCTTAAAATATGTAAATTATTTTAGAATTATGCTTTATATATGCAAGGTGAAGAGCATCAAGGACTGGGTAAGAAATAGAAGAGAAGAATGGAACGATTATATAATCCGAATGAGAATAATGAGAGACGGCAAGAGATGGTTTCAAATAGGAAGACGGTCAATAGACAACTTAGTGGAGGCAGATTGAAAAACAAACACTTCCATGTCTATATAAACAGAAGAAGAAGAAGCTTTATATATACAAATTGTTATGGTTTGTCATATTATAAACTACTATGAAAAGAAAAAAGGCCAAGGTAATAGTAAAAAAAATAGACGCAGATAAAGCAGATAAAATTTGTTATACAAAATTACACAAAATTTAACTTAATTAATGTTACAAATGTTCACAAAATTGTAATTAATTGTTACAATGGTTAATTGTTACAAATGTTAAATTTAATATTATTAAAAATGTTACAGCAATTATCTGCTTTGCAATTCTTAGAAGGCACAGACTAAAGCAAACATCTGGATTTTGGTTTCGTCAATAGAAATTTTCGAAATTCTACTTTGATGATTTAGTAAAAACTATTTTATTCACCATCATTGTCGAACCTCACTTTATAAACGTAATTTGGAAAAATTAAATTCCTCTTAGTCCAAATATTTTGGCGAAATATTTTAAGCAATTTAAAAAAGGAGGAAGACATATTTATATTGGTAGGCCAGATGATGATTGCATCTGACATTTCTCTGTATAAAGTTAACCGAACTAGTTTTAGCCTAATTCACCCTAATTCCATACTAAATGAGAGTACAATAAGAAAACGAACTATACAAAATAGTTATGTGGAGGTATATAGCTAATTAAGTGGCAGATATATAGCTAATTTAATGATTATATTATTAGAAAGAAAATAAAAGAGTCCAAGAGAAAATTGTATGCAAACAAGTGTAAGAGGAAATAGAAATAGAAAGTGAAAAAACTGTCGGAATAACAAAAATAAATCACAGTAGTTCATTTAATAACAGATCATTTAATATTCTTTCCCAGCTTTTTTTGTTGAATTAATTCATATTAAAAATTACTGGCGGTGACGACTAGAGGATAATATCACAACTACAGAAATGGCGTGGCGGCCGGGTCGTGTCGGTATGACCGAAGCAGTGGGCGGGGGCGTTGTATGACGTCAGAGGTCACACGTCAAAGTGCGCTGAAGTGGCTTACCTTCTACTATTCGGAAAATCGATTTAGGATATAACTGATCCTTAAAGGCAAAATAAAAGGCCTTAGAGGTGTAAGAAGGAAACAGATTTCTTGGTTAAAAAACATTAGTGAATGGAATGAGATATCAAATGCAGAACAATCATTTAGATATGGCAGAACATCGAGAAGCCTTCGAAATGATCTCCAACGTCTAATAAGTCTGATATGGTACGTGAAGAAGAAGAATAATAAATAACTGCAGAACAATTTTCAGAACATTGAAAAATGCGACAAGAATGGATAACACATTATAACAAAATTAGTAGTAAAGTATTTATATAGTTCTAACATGTCCTACATTTTCATTTTATGCTTGGTTTATGATTTTTTTGGCTTCCTTTTTTAATAAAGTGATTTTTATATTTTTCTGTTTTAATATACATTTTCCACAAATCCTTTTTTTTTATTTTTCGTTTAACTTCATGATTTAACTTTTTTGACGACTCCGAAATCTGACATAATATAACGTAAGATAAAATCAGCTTTACTTGAGAATATGAAGCACAAACAAAGAAAACTTTAATTATATTACAGGCAGATACTTTTCGTTACGCCCATGACGAAAATATATTGTTTCGCAAATTGGCTCTGGATTCGAAAATAACTGACAGCTCTGCCAGAAGCAGCCGAAACGGCATGAGTATAGGCTTGTCGGAATAACACTTTCCTTGCTAGATATTTGGATGAATATATTCCATCAAGAACAGCAATCGTAGGGATGGAATTCCAGACGGAAGCCTCTGGAACGGTATCAATTTCATTTCCGCTGCCGATTGTTTAAAAATGTTAGAAATGGATTCGATAAAAAAGGGGAAACTCGATCGTGGGTGTTAGGATGAAAGTGAAAGAGGTTTTCTTCGAGATTCAGTGTAAAATAAAGTAGTGGAAGTTGGTGAAATTCTTAAACAGTAGTATTAAATTTTCTGAATGTATTGATTTACTGATTTCTTTTTGGTATTGTTGTTTATTTGACATATACCACCTTAACCCTTTCGAGTCATATTTTTTTCAGGATCGGTATGGAATTTTAAACTTTTTTGTTTAAAACGTATAATTATGCAAAAATTATGAGGAATAGTACAATCGACATTTTTTTTCTGGTGGAACCGAAAAACGTGGTAAAAAAGTTCCATCATGAAACCAAATACCTGGTTGGTACGTACCTTCGCCTTCTTCATCATTTTCGTCACCACTGCTTTCTTCTTCACTTTCGTGATTCATCATCTGATTCTCTTCATCCATCTTATTGCCCTAGGAACCTGAATCAATTTGGTGACGCTCTCGTTCTACATCTCCTTTACATCCTGATGGATTGTAGTCTTCATCATTGGAGCCACTAAAAGTCTAGTGAAGCCACTAGTCTTAAAAGGATCGACTTCTGATTCAGTATCGCTGGCAAAAATGGCTACTGCCTCCTCCTCTAGCTCTATCTGCGTAAATATCTTTCTACTCATCTAAAACAAAACAAAACTGTTGGGACACATATAACCCACCATAAATGTCTGTTGGGACATATTTCACCCATAAAACAAAATACTAGTTTTATTGAATACATTTACCTTTTTTTTTGTAGGTAGCTCCACTCACAAAAACAAATTCGCAACAGTAACAGCGCAAAACTGTCCCTGTGGTAATCATCAACAAAACTACATAAGCACATTCCATCGATCAACATCACCAGCAAACACAGCACGAAAATGGTTTGCAATGTTGCCGCTTACACAAATTATTCTTCAAAATTGATGTTAAGTTACTTAAAAAGTCGGTTACTATAAAAATTCATATAAAACGGTTTAGATTTAGCCCAAGACACTTGATGATTTCATGACTGGGATACATACGTCCCGTCAGACTTGAAAGGGTTAAATACAAGAAGTATCTAATGACATACCGTAATATACTATACATACACAAAGGGTGAGTTTTAGTGCGACATTATTCGATAATTTCATTCTGGTACAGCATATCTAAAAAAGGAAGAATATTTAGAAAAAATGTAAGCAATGATGTTCTCCAGGCCGAATTCTGATTTTTTTTTGTAAACATTTCCAATGAGTCCGTTAAAAAAGTGAATACGGTAAATGCATCGTTTAATCAATCTAAAAAAGTTAATTTTTTGATTTTTAATCTGTTTCAAAAAAGCTGAAAGGATTTTTCACTTTGTAAACATTGTTGTTCAAACAACTCTAAATGAAAATTAAAAAGGGTTCGAAAATGTCATTAACTATAACATATTCGAAAGGAAGTAAAATCGATAATAGCTTTTAACTATAATATCAAACAGTATATTGTGCAATTTCATTTAATCTGAAAATCCACGTTATTTAAATTGTAATGAACGAGGAGCAGTCAACTGGAAAAAGTAGGTGTGGGCTTTCAGAAATTTATCAGAAATGAGTAGAACTACAAACTTTTATATTAAATATTATAGAGAGGGAATTTATGTTAAAAATGCAGTTTGCTTTGCTACTGAAAAATGGACAATGGTGCCCATTCGATTACGCGTTTTCTGTTCGCAAGCTTATGCTTCATACTTCATTATGACAAAAAAAAACAATAAAAATATCTGCAAAATTATTAAACTGATTGGTTAATAAAATGTAAATAAAACAATTACAAAATCGAAATAAATTAAGATTTTGTGGGCAAAAATTAAGAAAATTAATGTAATTATAAAAAAAATACAGAATTATACAAATTCAAGTATTTTCACCAAAATAGGATTAACAAACAAAAAGTTAAAAATATGTAAACAAAAGACTATATTGATCTAAACTATCATCATCATCATCGATTACGCCAAAGAAATCCAAGTTCGAATATAGAAAGCACGTACAAACAAGAAAACTAAAATTGGACTTGAGAGTTAGGCTGGCAAGGTGTTATAATTTTCTCGACTCTGCTTTATGGATGGAAGCATGGACACATGGACGGCTAAAAAAGTTAGAAGCATTTTGAAAATGTGGGTGTATATAAGAATCCTGAAGATATCATGGACCGAGCATGTAACAAAACAACAAAGTCATAGGAGAATCAACAAAAGAATGGAAGTATTGGTAAACCATCAAGACACGAAAGCTGCAATTACTTGGGGCATGTTATGCGTAATGAGAGATACAGCCTACTTGAATTGATTATACGAGGGAAAATCCAGGGCAAGAGAAGTGTAGGAAGAAGAAGAATCTCATAGTTGCGTAACTTGAGGGAATGGTACGGATGCACATCAATTGAATTATTCAGAGCAGCAGCATCTAAGATCAGAATAGCCATGATGATTGCCAACCTCCGCCGCGCGAGATGGCACGTGAAGAAGATCATCATCAACATAAGGTGGCTGGACAATCCGTTGTGGTCTGCTCACAAAGAAGTCGCCACTCCTGTCGATTCCTGGCAACTTCCCTGCATCTTCTAACCCTTAGAATCTGTAGATCTTCTTCCAAATCATCAATCCGTCTCCTTCGTGTTGTCCACTGCTTCTTGTGCCCTCGGGTTTTTGAAAATGTTAACCTCTTCGTGTATTCGTGATCTAACATCCTAAGCAATATGTCCAGCCCATCTGTATGGTGTACAATTTATATAGTTCAAAGTTGTATCGTCGACGCCATAGCTCATTTTTCATTTACGGCCCCAAAAATCAGTCCCCCCAAGATTTTTTTTCCCAAAAATACCAGGAAATCTTTCATCATTTTCAGATAAGGTCCTCGATAAGATATTTTTATTTTTAAATGTTCTGGAGACCGTGAACAGTTCTGTTTGCTATTGCTCTCAGTTGCTACGCTCACATTACATTATGTCATCTTTTTATTTCATCGTTGGTCGTGTTTGTGGCGTTTACTAGCAATCCAAGATATTTCAATTGGTTTAGCATACTGGTTTACCATAAGTCCTAATTCACATGCCGCGTCCGAAAGCCTTGTAAACCTCATACTTCTTCTTCTTCTTCTTAGTCGTTAACCTGATGCAGGTATCGTGATATCATGAAGCTGTTAGGTAATTTTTTCCAATGTTCCCTCCACGTTTTCTATCTTCTGCCAATCTAGCACAATTCGATAATGGAGCGCCAATGGTAGCAACAATATGGTCCGTGTATCGTGTAGGAGATCTACCTCTACTTATTTTGCCTTCTACTTTTCCCTGGATGGTAAAGTTTTTCAAGACCATTTCTTCGAAGCACATGTCCAAAATAGCTTATTATCTGTTCTGTTATTTGTGTTCTTAGTCTTTTATTTATGTTTAGCTGGACCAGTATGGATTCATTTGTTCTTCGGGCCACCCATGGTATTCTCAGCATTCGTCTCCAGCAGTACATCTCAAATACATCTATGTTCTTTTTTGTCTTTCTCAGTAAGGGTCCAGCATTCCGATGCATAAGTAAAAACTGGAAAAACTAGACTTCTTACTAGTCTCATTTTTGTATCGGTAGTAACTTCATGGCTTTTCCAAATTTTTGTTAATTTTGCCATAGCGCTTTTTGCGATTGCTGACTGCCGCTTTATTTCTTCAGTACAGCCTCCTTTGTTGGTTATTAATGAGCCCAGATACACAAATTTATCTACAACAGCGATACTGTTTATCCTAATCAGATGATTTTGATTGTTGTTAGCTCTGTCAATTATCATGATTCTAATTTTATCCCTGTTTATTTTAAGGCCCATCGTTAAGCTTACGTCTTCTATCCGTTGTAGCAGGTGAATCAATTCAGTTTCAGAACTAGCGAGGATAGTAGTATCATCTGCATATCTCAAGTTGCAAATCTTCTTCCCGCCAATGGTGATGCACCGTTTCCAGTCCTCAGTAGCTTTTTCGCATATCCATTCACCATAGATGTTAAATAAAATTGGGCTTAGTATGCAGCTTGTCTCACGTCCTTTGTGACCCTGAAACTGTCAGTTAGTTGCCCATTTATTCTAACTCTGGCATAATTGTTATTGTACAGGCTTTTAATTAGCAGTATCAATGATTAGGGACTCCCATTTGAGACAAAACCTGCCACATTTTACTCCAGTTGACCAAATCGAAAGCTTTACTATAATCTATGAAGCACAAATATGTTGTGATATACGAACCTCATACATCTGCCCACTATAACTATTATCGTCAGGCGAATGCGAGAATTTGCGTCGATCTATTAAAGGTAGTAATAGATAGACGTTTATTCATTCATTCAATCATTCTAATATTTAATTATTTGATTGCTTTTTCCAAGGTAATATTAAAGAGGACACACGCCAGCGCGTCCCCCTGTCTTAAAGACCATTATTAATGCCAAAGAACGTAAAGTTTTCTTCTTCATTGTAATGCATGAGCTTACGTTTGCACTAGTTGGGTCAATTATCTAACTTGTGGTGATAGTGATTTGGGATAGGTGATTTCCCAAAGTCTATCATTGCATTATATAATGTAGTTCTTTTAACACTGTCATAGGCTGCTTTGAAGTCGACGAAGAGATGGTGTATATCTATGTTATATTCTAGTGACTTTTCTAGAATTTCCCCATGTGCTTTAATTTGATGTATAGTTGACTTCCCAGCAGTAAATCCGCATTGATATTGATCAACAATATCCTTTCTAAAATGTTTAAGTTTTTCAAAAATACTTACTCCAACTCCAAATCTGAGATCAGATCGAATACCTAAAAATGGTGTTTACTAAAATATAAGAGGATAAGAGGAGATAAGATCTGATCAAAGCTTGTAAGAGATTAGAAGGGGTCAGTTTGCTCAACTCTCTATGTGGAAAATTCAGACGGACGCACAATACGTGTACTACTATACGCATATAAAACATACAAAACAACATTAGGCTTGTGATAGAATATAAGTTAATATAATGCATGCGAGACATGGACAGTCAAAGAATCAGATCGACGACGTATAGACCCTTTGAAATGTGATAAGGAGACGCCTGCTTCGAATTCCATGGACGGCTCGCCGTACAAATATCTCGGTTCTGGAAGAAATTAAACCGGATCAGCGTCTCTCCAGTACCGTTGTACTCTAGAATTTTAAAGTTCTTTGGCCATATCCATCGAAGTGATCACAAAATGGAGCGGTTGGTGGTCCAAGGAAGGCCTCAGACTCAACGCCAACGCGGAAGATCTCCACAGCGATGGTCGGACATTACTAAAAAGCTTCTCAATAAACAGTATACTGAGGCAATACATATAACTGATGACCGCGACCAGTGGAGAAATATTATCAATCAAACTGTCCGAGCTGCTGAAGCCCAATTATGAACCACAACACATCTACTAAGATGTTAATGACTGTGATGATGATGATATATGCCTTGCTCAATCGCGACCTTTTAGATAAGCTATTATCGGTAGAAATTAGTATCATACGCAAAGTGATTTACAAACAATTCGACTATCTCTCTGCCATAATACGAAAACTATCGAACACCAAAACCATACTTGAGGGGCTCATCTCTCTGTAAAGAGTTATACAGTAAA